AATTGTAAACTAATACAACCTTCACAGAACCTATCAGAGTATCTTGTCAATTTACACTTTTTACATTCTTTTGGTTTACCCCATTTATATGTTGCATTATCTAATTCAAATTCATAAATAAACCTTTCCTTACAGTATTCTTTTTCATTTTCAGCAAGCTCCTTGTTTTTTTTAACTAATGAAAAAAAATAATCTTTTCCACTTTCTCTATCAGACTTTTTAGCATTAGCATTATTACGCATTTCACTATAAATTTTATATACAAATTTCTTTCTTTCTAGTGATAATGATGATAATAATTTAACATATGACATTATAAAATATAAATATAAAATTCGACTTGGTGTTTTAATGAACGTGGAAATTTTTTTGTGAATAACGGTTACATTATTTCCTTAACATCAATAAAAGAAAGGTTGTCGTGTTACATTCTAAATGTCGTAATTTCTGTGTAGATTTTTATATTGTGTTATATATATAATATAAAAATTTTTTTTTCGTAACAATTTGAATGCATGGGAAACATTCTGTTATAAAGAAGTCTCGTTAAAAAACATTTTCGTTTTCCAACAATGATAAAGAGTGGTCATTTTTACATCGCCGTATCATACGAATTCTCATTTATATCTATTTGGAAAAATTATCTATTTTTGTTCAAAACGTCAGGGTTGAGTGAATCAGATACTTGACTGAAAGGAAATCGTGTTTTGCTTTAGATGTTTTTTTGCGCGGTGTCTACTGCTGTCTACCATTAGGTATTCGTCTTGCTTTGACGTTTCGAATCGTTTGGAATGACCAGGAACTTATGGCATTGCCTTGGAGCCTTTACCTCAGATCCCATATCGTCAAAGACTTGTCACACAACGTTAATGTTAGTATATTTTTAGGGTCACAAGACCGGGATTCAAAAACACCTTTTTACATTTTATTTTGTTATTATTATCGGTCAATTCAATGATTGATAAACAAATATGTACAAAATTTTTTTGATTTTGACCATCTGGATAGGAAAATTTTATTTTGGAGAAAACAAATAAAATCCCGTTCCAAAGGATTTTTTTTTTAATTAGCTTGTAAATAATTTTTAATGTTTGCAGAAGTTTATATAGGCTTGTAAAAAAAATCCAATCGATCCAATTGACCTTTAATCTGGGATAAATAAATAAACACAAAGAAAAAATTAGGACAAAAAATCTTTTTTTTTTAATTAGAAAAAAAAAACTTGGTTGATTTTTTTAACAATCGAAATTCGTAAATAGCTTTTGATTCACATGAGGGTTCTTCTTTGCAAATGATCTTTATTAAATTTTGCTTAATGTAACGAATAAAAATATGACTGGCTAATGTTGATGTTCCGAACGAAATATATTGACACCTCGCATTTAATGCAACATGTAAAGCCGAATCATATATAGAATGTCATCTCAACACTACGTACCTCGACCCTCGAATTAGAATGCAACGTAAAGGGCAAAACAAATGCACCATTTTTTGCATTTTTGAGGGGCAACGGATCTATTTATATATCTTTTTGTGGTAATTTATTATACTACTTGATCAATGTATCATCTGGTCACGAAATAGTCTGTTATTATTAAAGATTACTAATTGATCATGAATACAGATAGGATGCTTAGGCACTTCGTATCCAGTGCTAATTCTCCGAACGAATGTTGTTTGACGAAATGTTACCACAGTTGTAAAACTATTACGTCGAATTCGCTGCCGTTAAGTCAAAATGATGCAAGTCAAATTGCTTTAAAGGTGAATAAAATATAAAATCTTACAAAAAAAACTTATAAATATATTTCCCTTTTTTTCTTGTATATCCTAATCTCTCCTTTGTTTCATGAGTTGTTCCCAAAGAGTCAAAATTTTCTTTTTCTGAGTATAAACGCACTCATTTACTACTAAATTCAAACATTTCTTGCATTAATATTGATAACGTGATACTAATATATCAATTAGGGAAGGTTTTGTTCAAGGGTCAACTAATTTTAGTGTATCAAATGAAATTTTACGCAAAAGTCTTTTATAATCAATTGATCAAGTTACTTTGCATCTTTATATTTTATCCTTATTGTTGTGAAACACTTGAAAAAGCATAACTTCAGGTCCTCACTGAGGAAAATAATACATTCTAATAAAATAAAACTCTGATATAATCATTATTTTTAGTAAATAAAATTAATCGTTAATAAACTTTTAAAAATAAAAATATTGTCTTTATTTTCTTTGTTTAAAGCGCTTCGATAAAAGAAACAAGTGTAGTTAGTGCTTGTAAAAGGCAACAATTGTGGAGCTTTGGTAAAAAACCATATTTATTTGCTCTAGTAGCAAGCAAGTAAGGTTAGGACTAATGTTGGTTAACTAGTGAGTGCCAACAACGATCAGTAACGTAATTTGCTTTAGTGAGTATGGGATGCTGATGTTTTCTAATATATAAATTATTATTTAGACAATGGTAATTTCCTTTTTTGAAGATAAAAAGTTTCAAAAAAAAATTATTACTCTATATTTTACATATTATGCTGACATGATATTGTTACAAACTATTATTGTTGGGAGGGTGAAAGTAATAATTGATAATGTTTAATTGTATGGAATCAGACAAATAAATTAAAATACTAATGAATAGTTTTTTGGTTGTGATTTAGTTATTCATTTTACTCAAAGTAAAGAAAATTACAAAGTTAGGTTATATACTTTCTAATTAATTATTAACCTGCTTTCAGCAAATAATTCTGCTTTCACCCAAAACTCTGCCTTTGACAGATTTTTCTGCTTGTAAAGGTATTCTAAGTTGAGATTTACTGTGTAGGTTTTAGGGAGATAACTGATAGATAATTAATTCTATCCAAACACAAACAAACCCAAATCTCACTTCTGCCAATAATTCAACAAGTGATTTAATGACATGCGAGCTAAATAATTTTATGTTTTATAAAGCCAAAAGGCATGATTATTTTTAAACAAAGAAATTTTACTTAATGGTGGGTGATCTTGGAACCGGTCTTTCGGTTCGGAAGAACCGAACAAAAACATATCGACTTAATGGGTTATCAGCTTACTACGCATACTTGTTTAAAAACTTGCTCAAATTAACCAATAATATTTAACCAAGTTGATAAAAACTGATAATTTTATCTAGAAAAAATGTATCAACAACCACCACCGCAACCACTTAATAATAACAAAAATAACAATGTACTTTCATATTATCCACAAAATTCAGTTTCGCCACCACCATTACAGCACCCAATTCCCACACACCCACCTATTCAAGTGCGTGATCCACCCGCTTCTCCCTCACCACCAGCACAACAACATCAACAACATCAACAACATCACCAACATCACCAGCAACATCACCAACAATCAACACATATTCTACCTTCTGATCAAAATAGTAATTGGTTAAATGATCCTACAACTCAAATGGGTGTGCATTTTGGAAAAAATGCAATGATGGTTGGAAGTGAATATGTCGAGAAAAATGTGCATTTTTTTAATTATTTTCACCATGGCATATTTTTTTTATTGTAAAACTTATTAATTATTAATATTTATATTAGATTAATAGATATTTTAATTTTTTTACTTTAAAATATTATTTTAAAGTGAATAATTCATATGTGGCAAATAAAATTAGATTATTGTTATTTCCATGGAGACATCGTGTAAGAGAAGATTCTTTATTAGAAAAATATCATATATTTAAAATCAAATAAATCATATTCAATTGATCAATCAATCAATCAAACGATTAATTATATATATCTCTAGCCATGGTCTAGACTTGTTATACGATCACAGCAAAATGGCCAAATGGAAGGTTATATGCCACCAAGAGAAGACATTAATTCACCTGATTTATATATACCAGGTATCTATCTTTTTGGGGATTTTGATGTTTTAATTTGGTTTTTTTTTTTAATTGTTTAACATTTAACATTTGACATGCAAACTTTCTTTTTCCTTTCCATTTATCTTTCTCTCTTACAAAAAAAGCTATGGCATTTGTAACTTATGTATTATTAACCGGAATTGTTGCTGGAACTGAAGACAAGTATTTAATTATTAGAAAATTTTTTTTTTAATTTTTATTATTTTAAAACCTCATTAATAACAAATACTTGGGATTCTTTAGATTTCATCCTGAAGTTTTGGGAATAAATGCTACAACTGGATTACTCTTGGTGATATTTGAATTACTATTTATTAAAATTGGTTGTTATTTATTAAATATTACTTCTGAAGCACATCTTCTAGATTTTCTTTCATATTCTGGTTATAAATTTATTGGGTAATTATAAATTATATATAAATGATTTATTTACTATATTATGATATTTAACATTTATAATTTCATTATTTAGTGTGATTATTACACTTGTGGTTTCTTTAATCACACCACTTTGGTTTGTTATAGGAACTTTCTTTTATGCAGCTTTTGCAAATGGATTTTTTCTGGTATTTAATTAATTTTGATAAATAATTTATAACACAACTTTATATGAGAGATCTTTAAATTTAAATTATTTATTACTTTGCACTAAAAAAAAATAGTTAAGATCTCTTCGATATGTTGTTTTCCCAGATTCAACAAACACAGTTCAAGTTCCTCAACGAAAAAGAAGAATTCATTTTCTTTTTGTTGTTTCTGCTTTACAAGTTCTTCTTATGTATTATCTTATACATAAAAAACAATAATAAAGAATTTTTGTGTAAATATATTTTTAATAACATTAATTTTTAATTTGTGCTGTACTTTTGTCTGATGTAAAATTAAGATAGTTAGTGCTCATAGTGAGCCATATCACATGAAATAATAATTGAATATTTTTTTATTTAAATTAACCTTCTTTTAACCTTATCGATTTCTGTCATGATGATGAAATTTATTACATGTAAAAATAATGGGACGAACGTACAAAAAATAATGTTTATTTTTTTTTGGAACTATTTATATATAGATGATCTGCATGATAATCCATGAACCAAAATCATAATAAATGGCAACGACTAGTAGTAGCAGTAGTTCATCATTACTTCAAACACTTGAGACTAATCCTCGCGGAATTCCTAAAATTCAATTTGTGGTAAATTAATTAACGTATTTGATTTGATAAAAAGCAAACAAAATCACAAGTTAATAAGAAAATTTTAATTTTAATGTTTTTTTTTTTTTTGAAAAAATAATAAAAAGGAAAATGTTGGAGAATTTATTAAAAGTAATTCATCATCAACCATTGAAGTTATATTAGGCAAATTACAAGAAACTGTATCGTAAGTTGGTTTTTTTTTTTGAAGTTTGTTTGAGTTTTTTTTTTTTTTTTTAAAAAATTTATGTTAATTTTTTGTTTTTCATTTTAAAATGATTATATGACAACACAGCAAATATAAATTCATGGAAATAAATTACATTAATAAAAAAAAAAGATTAGAATCGAGATTACCCGAAATTAAAAAAGCTCTTGAAACTGTAGAATTCTTGATTTCAAAACAGGCAAATAAAACCAATCAATCAATCAACCAATTAGTTCTAAAGATTTTAATGGTAACAATTATTAATATTATTAATGTTTGGAATGTTAGGATTCTGACGAACCTATAAAAACCACTTTTGAATTATGTGATACTTTATGGGTACCAGCAAAAGTTAAATCTACAAAAACTATTAATTTATGGCTTGGTGTAAGTATTGATGTCAGATAATAATGTCATTTCTTTTTTAAAATTTTATATGATCTTTAATTTGCAAATTTGCACACATACATTTATTCATTTAGGCAAATGTAATGGTAGAATATTCATTAGAAGAAGGAAAAAAACTTTTAAATGGTAACTTGACAAAAGCTGAAAATAGTTTAAAATATTTATTAGAGGATTTAGAATTTCTTAGAGAACAAATTACCACAATGGAAGTCAGTATCCTTTTAAAACAAATGATGATAATAATAAAATCATTATTTTTATTACAATAATCATTTTAACAATGATTACGACATTTGTTATTATCCTTTAACTTTCTTTTTCCTCTCATAAAAAAAAAAATTAATAAAAGATACTGCACGTGTATATAATTGGGATGTTAAAAAACGTAGAGTGGAAAAATCCAGCAGTGATCCAAAAATTTAATTATATTGTTTAAATAATATATTATATATCAATGATAATAAAAATGATGATAAATATAAAATCATTTATTTAAAAGATGATCTATTACGAGCATTTGCTTCACATTTATTTTATAGTCTCATTCGTTGTCTTTATCTTCAAATCCATCATATATTTTAAAAAAATAATATATTCATACAATAAGCAAATATGAGATTATTACGAAAATTTTATATATTATGGTCAAAATATTAAGAAAATATCTAATGAGAATAACCTTAAAAATCAATCATTAAGATCTTAGGTATTTTTATTTGCTTAAAGGCTAATTGGTGATTGTATAAAAACTAGCACAAACAATAATAATACATATGTTAATTAAAAAAAGCGATTTTTATGGAAATATTAATAGTAAGAATGGGGTTTTTGACAATTTATAAAGTATCAAACGATTCTTGCCAAGTAATTCTCTTCCGGAAAAAATAACTATAGATAAGATAAAGATATCTGAATGGAGTTCGCCAAGTAATGAAATAGAAAATATTAATTTTTTTTTTACAAAGTAGTGTCCAAAGATAAATCATATTACTTAGTCGAAGGAATTGGAAAAGGAGTAATTCGATCGAAAAGTGAAAGCATATTAACTAGCACAATTAATTTTGCATCAAATGGCGAGTATATAAAAACAATATCAGGGATGAATACTGGTGGAAGAGATTGCAGAATTAAACAATTTAGTTTTTTTACCTATAACTACTGGATCTTATGGTGATAAGCAGGAGTCACAAATTATTTTCTTTTTCTATTTCTGAATCTGATAGTGAGATTGTAGCTTTTTATGGCAAGAGTGGTTTGTATTTGGGCTTATACAAGAATTATCCAAGAACAGCAATCTCAAGTTGTTAAAGGTAAGGAGATTCAGGAATTGGAAAAAAGGGTATTTGCACTAGAACAAAAATTACCAAAACTAGAATTAGAGCAAGTAGCACAAATCCAAATTCCTCCTAAATAAAAAGATTAGGGAGTCCCCTATCTAATATGGGGCATACTGCAACAAAGCCAGACAAAGTGAACATTTTATTATGTGATATGAATGAGAGGCTGATTGTGATGTGGCTGTAAAATTGACCAGTGTGACTGATGACATTTTGAAAAGTAATAATGGTGCTTGTTCATAACTTATGGACTTGTTAATTTTAATGCTCACTTTATCATACCAGAATGTGATGAATATAAACCATAACATGATTAATATAGGATTACCTCTATATATAAAAATATTAATATGAAAATTAATTTTAAATCTTTTAGTTTTTTAAAAAATGGTAACAAAAGAAGAAATCAAACAAGAATTAACAAAAGCAGAGGTGAGATTGGATGAGGCAACGAAAATTTCATGAAGGAGGAGAATTTAGAGAAGTTTGAGAAAAGGTGGGGAACAGAGGTGATGAAAGAAGAGAAGAAGTTGTTGGATGCAGAGAAGAAGAAGTGGGGAGATCAGGTGGTATTTCTACAACAAGAATTAATGAAATTTAATAAAGAAGGAGGTAATGAACAAATTGCATAAAAAAAAAAAAAATCATTTTTCGTTCATTCCATTTCATTTATTTATTCATTTATTTGTTTGAATGATTTGGTATACTGTTTATAATGTTAACTAATTTGTGGTTTTTATTTCTGTTCTTTATTTGTTTAACATTAAATTACGTTGCTTGCATAGTGAAATATTAATGATATTTCCTATTTCCATTTCTATTTATTTCAGAAGCCATCCATTTCAAGAGAAAATTTAGTTACTCATCATCAACACCATCAAAATTACAGAAACAACTAGCCATTGATGATTCTTTCACATTTTCACGTTATTATGAAACTAGAGTGAAAAATAATTCTTTATGGTTTCAGCAAAAAATTCTTAGTACAGAGGAAAAAGATACTGCACATGATGGTCAGATGTTCCAAGCTATGCAGATGCAAAACTTATTCAAGAAGAAGAAAGTTCAAGCAAATTAGAAACAGTCTATCAACGTTATCTTATGAAGAAGCTGGATATTTTTGTTTCCAAATACCCAAGCATGCAACTGAAACATGTAGATGCTCACCAGAAACCTATTCTTAAGGGACAAAAACCAGATATTACCTTCTATTTGCAAGATCAAGCCATCTCAAATATCAATATTGTTTCTGTTTTAGAGATCAAAGTCACTGAAAAAGAGGATGAATGGGTGAAAACTAAGGATACCGGCTGCAACTTTTGATGATGGTTGCTACCATCTTTGCGTCATATAAAAACAATTGCAACCACTGGTTGCAACCACCTTTACAACCATTTTGTTTCCTTTTTTGGATTGCGACATGGAACACTAGTTTATAAGCCTATTTATGCTGATATTTTCAATTTTGAAAGGGATGTATTGAAAAGTTTGGAAGCAGGTGGTGTGATTAATATTCCTTGTTATGTTGGATGTGGAAAAACATCAAAGACAAGTGCCAACTTTATCTTAATGAATGGAGTTGGGTCATCTCTTAATGACACAGATATTGATATACAACAGATATTTATACAATTACTTGATGTTATTAAAAAATCACATGATCTTGAGATATTCGTATACACAATATTCTAATAAAAGACAAAAATGTATTACTTATTGATTGGGGATTTGCGGCAAAGTTAGGAAAAGAAACAACATATCATGGAACTATCACAACAGCTTCAAATCATATTTTAGAAAAGTTGGAAAGTGGAAATATAATGTTCTAACCAAAGAAAAGTGATGACCTACATTCTGTTGTCCGATGTTATTACCTTATTTGAAATCAACAAATACAGAAGAAATTACATGACCTTGATATTTCAAAGTTTGAATCAATTAAGAAGTTCTGGAATACAGAATTGAGTGCACCATACTGGATTGAATGTAATAATGCAGCAGAAAGTGAAGATTATAAAAAGCTGAAGGCACAATTTGAATATATATGACAAGAATAAAAATCACTTGTAATGAATATATTTATCATGCAACAGCAGTTTAAAATAAAAAGAATGAACATAATTAATTTTTAGATTTAATAGCTTCAATAATTATAAAAATAACAATTTTTAATCCTGTAATCATCAGTTATCAAAATTATTTCATTTTCTAATTAGTTAAAAAAAGGAATCAAGTTATCATCTATAATAATAAGTAAAAGCAATAATTAAACTTAGTTGTCAAAGTATCCATTTATTTATATGAATATTCTGTTGTTTTAAAACATAATGAATGAATAATAAATGATAAGTTATACACAGTGAGTCTCAATTTAACAGACCTCGATTTAGCAGATTTAGGGGTTTAACAGATAAATTTTCAAAACCAAATTTTTCTATAATTATTTTATCTCGATTTAACAGATTTAACAGATTTTCATATATATTCAATTTAGCAGATATTTTTTAAAAATCCATATATGTCACTTATAATAAAATTCTCTTGATATTACCGATAATGATGTTTCTTGCCTTTTTTGGATAGACTAATTTTATAATAATAAGCATATAATAAATAAGTATTATTACATTTTAATCAAACATATTGTTAACTATTTCTTGGCAATGACACTTTTATATAATGTAATTTTTTTTATTTCTTTAAATGCTGATGAATTTATTATGAAATGACGGAACAAGAAATTGTAAACATAGTGTTGGGGCA